GCTTGGCCTGCATCTGAACAGGAATTTCAGGAACTTTTCTGTATTTTGATGATTTTGGTGCCATTTCTGAGCCATTTCTCCCCATTTCTGAGCCGTTTTTTGCCCGTTTTTCGCCCCGTTTTCACCCGAAACGCCCCAAAATCCCGGAAAACTTTGGGAATTTCGGGGATTTTCCCCGGACCTGTGCATGGCCTGCATCTTGAGGCCCTCCTCGATGCTGGAGCTGAGCGCCTGCTGGTTGTGCAGGCGGCTGAGCTTGGCCAGCACGCGGTCCTGGTGCGCCTCGTACTCGTCGCGGCTCGGGTAAATCTTGGAGATGAGCGCGTCGAAGTTGGGGTCGGGCCGCAGCGAGCGCTTGGACACCAGCTTCTTCCTGCAGGTGGGACACTCCTTGTTCCTGGGGAAAACATGGAAAAATACGGGGGAAAATTGGGGAAAAAACGGGGAAAAAACGGGGAAAAAATTGGGGAAAAAATGGGGAAAAAACGGGGAAAAACGGGGGAAAATTGGGGGAAAATGAGGAAAGAACAGGGGAAAATGGGGGAAAATCAGGGGGGAAATGGGGGAAAATCAGGAAAGAATATTGGGAAAACTGGGGAAAAATTGGGGGGAAATCAGGAAAAAAACAGGGAAAAAGTGGGGTAAAATGGGGAAAAATTGGGGTTGAAATGGGGGAAATTGGGGATGAAATGGGCAATGGGCAATGGGCAGCTTCTTCCTGCAGGTGGGACACTCCTTGTTCCTGGGGAAAACATGGAAAAATACAGGGAAAAATTGGGGAAAAATCGGGGAAAAAATTGGGGAAAAAATTGGGGAAAAAATGGGGAAAAAACGGGGAAAAATTGGGGGGAAAATGGTGGAAAAATGAGGAAAGAACAGGGGAAAACTGGGGGGAAAATGAGGAAAGAAGAGGGGAAAAATGGGGGAAAATCAGGGGAAAATTGGGGGAAAATCAAGAAAAAAATGTGGGGAAATTAGGGGAAATTGAGCGGAAAATTGGGGAAATCAGGGGAAAAAGTTGGGGGAAAAATGGGGGAAATGGGGAAGAAATGGGCAATGGGCAATGGGCAAGGGGCAGCTTCTTCCTGCAGGTGGGACACTCCTTGTTCCTGGGGAAAACATGGAAAAATACGGGGAAAAATTGGGGGGAAATCGGGGAAAAAACGGGGAAAAAATTGGGGAAAAAATGGCAGAAAAATGGGGGGAAAACGGGGGGAAAATGGCGGGAAAATGAGATAAAAACAGGGAAAAAATGGGGGAAAACTGGGGGAAAATCAAGAAAAAAAACGAAGGGTAATTAGGGGAAATTGAGGGAAAAATGGGGAAAAATTGGGGAAATCAGGGGAAAAAATTGGGGGAAAAATGGGGGAAATTGGGGAAGAAATGGGCAATGGGCAATGGGCAAGGGGCAGCTTCTTCCTGCAGGTGGGACACTCCTTGTTCCTGGGGAAAACATGGAAAAATACGGGGAAAAATTGGGGAAAAAACGGGGAAAAAATTGGGGAAACAATGGCAGAAAAATGGGGGAAAAACAGGGAAAAATTGGGGAAAAAATGGCAGAAAAATGGGGAAAAAACAGGGAAAAATTGGGGGGAAAATGAGGAAAGAAGAGGGGAAAAATGGGGGAAAATCAGGGGGGAAATGGGGGAAAATCAGGAAAAAATATTGGGAAAATTGGGGAAAAATTGGGGGAAATTGGGGTAAAAATGGCAGAAAAATGGGGAAAAAACAAGGAAAAAAGGCGGAAAAATGAGGAAAGAACAGGGGAAAATGGGGGAAAATCAGGAAAAAATAATGGGAAAATCGGGGAAAAATTGGGGGGAAATCAGGAAAAAAATAGAGAAAAAGTTGGGTAAAAATGGGGAAAAATTGGGGTTGAAATGGGGGAAATTGGGGAAGAAATGGGCAATGGGCAATGGGCAGCTTCTTCCTGCAGGTGGGACACTCCTTATTCCTGGGGAAAACATGGAAAAATACGGGGAAAAATTGGGGAAAAATCGGGGAAAAAATTGGGGAAAAAATGGGGAAAAAACGGGGAAAAATTGGGGGGAAAATGGCGGAAAAATGAGATAAAAACAGGGAAAATGGCGGAAAAATGGGGGAAATTCAGGGGGAAAATGGGGAAAAATCAGGAAAAATTAATGGGAAAATCGGGGAAAAATTGGGGAAAAAATGGCAGAAAAATGAGGAAAGAATGGGTGAAAAATTGTGGAAAACTCAGGGGGAAAATGGGGAAAAATCAGGAAAAAATAATGGGAAAATCGGGGGAAAATTGGGGAAAAACATGGAAAAATCATGGGGAAAATCGGGGAAAAAATGGGGAAAAAATTGGAGGAAAATTGGGAAAAAATGGGGGGAAAATGGTGGAAAAATGAGGAAAGAACGGGGAAAAAAACTGTGGAAACTCAGGGGGGAAATGGGGAAAACTCTGGGGGAAAATGGGGAAAAATCAGGAAAAATTAATGGGAAAATCGGGGTAAAATTGGGGAAAAACGGGGGAAATGGGAAAAATCAGGGAAAAAAGGGAAAAAACGGGAAAATCGAGGAACAATGGGGAAAAAATGGGAAAAAACTGGGAAAAAAGGGAAAAAACGGGAAAAAAGGGAAAATCGAGGAACAATGGGGAAAAAATGGGGAAAAAAC